ATGCGCGGCGTGATCCTGCTATAGACAAACAAAACACAACCTATTGAATGGAACATTATTTTTTAACTTAATGTAAAACAACACCATCTAAATTCCCATCAGATGCATTTAGTCAAATCAACTCTTGGTTAAATGTTCACGAATGACGATGAATGTATGGTTTTATAGAATTGCCGATTTGCTTCATCAACTCGTGTTTATATTCAGCTGCCTAACAAATTGTCCCTCTGTGTTATTTAAATTGCACGGTCAAGTCACAAAACCGAACGCATATCAAAGAGTGCAGCACTTTCATGGTGGAGACCACGGATTCATTTAAAGCCATCATTGTCTGGGTTGGCGGCAAGCAAAAATGTTTCCACATACAGCACACCACATCCAGTACACCACATCCAGTATACCACATCCAGTACACCACATCCAGTATACCACATCCAGTATACCACATCCAGTATACCACATCCAGCACACCACATCCAGTATACCACATCCAGTATAACACATCCAGTATACCACATCCAGTATACCACATACAGCACACCACATCCAGTATACCACATCTAGAATACCACATCCAGTATACCACATACAGCCCACCGCATCCAGTATACTACATACAGCGCACCACATCCAGTATACCACATACAGCACACCAAATCCAATATATTACATCCATTACACGACATACAGCACACCACATACAGCACACCACATCCAGTATACTACATTCAGTAGTCCACCTCTCTTTAGTGCTGTGGCTACTGGTAACCTGCCTATCTCGGTCGACTCGCGACCTGGAATCATTGGGTGAGACATTGTGCTCCGCTTGAGACCATGAACGCAACGGGAAACTCGTCGCTTGTCACTCAGATTCCTGGCCTCACGACCCGGATGTTTAGCGCTGTGCCCGACAGTTTGGAGAGTGATGGTGCTCATGTTGACCATGGAGAGTTTGACTCTGAATACAATTGTTATTAATGCAACAGCAGCAACCGCCTCCACAGCCATAAAAAGTACATTACAAAATTGCACTTTACTTCAACAACCTTTCAAGCGTCTCGTTTACAATATGGAATTAAACATGTAGAAATTCCTGTGGCGGAGTGGTTCCGTAGTGGTTGACTCTCCGTACTGGGAACCCTGCCGCCCAAATTCAATTCCTGGCCACGGCTAGCAGCAGTCGCAAGCGATAGCCGAACCGATCCTGCACCCCCGTTCACCTTCCCGCACCGATGTGCATTGTGAAGTCAAACGGTCCTCACAACGGCCTCGCCTTTTCAAACGACGTCTACGGAATCTTTCGCATCTACCGGGCAGCAGACGCCGCGTAGTACTTTCCCGTCAATACGCTTGCACATTAATAACCAGGGTTGCCCGCGCGGTATTAACCAGGGCGCCCTGCGCGGTATTAACCAGGGCGCCCTGCGCGGTATTAACCAGGGTGCGCTGCGCGGTATTAACCAGGGTTGTCCGTGCGGTATTAACCAGGGTTGCCCGTGCGTTATTAACCAGTAAGGCCCGTGCGGTATTAACCAGGGACGCCCCGCGCGGTATTAACCAGGGCGGCCTGTGGGGCTACAGCCGTGAAACTCTGCAACGAGCGGCGAAAGTGCCACCGCTGGGCCACGAAAAGGCCGAGGGGCAGCAGAGGAAGGATGCGCCGCTGTCAGACACCGGACGAAGGGGAGTCCGCCTGCCGACATGGCAGGAGACTACAGAAGCGGAGAGTGCGGCGGGAGCGGACAGCCAGGAACCTCTGCCCTTTTGGCAGAGAACTCCAAGGGATGGATACTATTTACAATCGTTTCGGAAACATTCCCCCATCAGCCACTTTATTAAAACAAATTATATAAACCAATCTAACAGAGTGAGTGACCCAGGTGCCTAATTATTTAAACCAGATGTTCGGATGTTTAAATCGTTCCCTGGTGTATCCCGAGCAATCGAATGCAACACATTTTCTATCATAGATTTGCGAGTGCTAAATAACGCATGGACACAAACTCACGACACGTTGCTGTGCGGTGAGACATTTCTGCGCAGAGACACAGCATGGAGTTCTGCTTGGTAAACAGATGACATTGGGGAAAGTAAAACTAAACAAATTCAGTATTTGGTTTTTCTTTCAAACACCTTGTCGTGTTTGAGCTGAGAATGTTCCTGCTACCCACAATCCTCCAGGAGCAAGGAACAGGTAAATGGTGGAGGCACCCTCAACGCGTTCATCATAAAAACTGCGTGGCCTTTAAAGGGAAAAAAAAAATATATAATAGATGACGTTTCGGGCAATGACCCTTGATCATGGGAGACCCATAAAGTTTCACTGATAACACGCTCACAAGTCCAGACATGTGTAATCCGATCACTTCACTTTCACACTGTCTGAAATGTCACGTATTGCATATTTTTCCTTTTTTAAGGAAGTGTCCTTTCAAGGCAGTGTTCTTGTTGTTTTGTTTGTTATTTCTGCTCTCGTGCACCACTGCCAGTGAAGCGTCGCAAAGCAATTGGTGATTGTGAGCGCAGGTTTAGCCCCACGGACGCTGCCGTGGGGCCACGGATACCACTCCGGACCCTGCAACGCAGAGGCCGCCGGTTCCATTCAACCAACACGCACGCCAGTTGAAGCAACGGTGGAGTATTCGCGTAACTCGCAGCGAACGTGTGCTCCTATTAATGTTTGGGACAGCTATGCACAATAAATATGCTTACCAGTTTTGGTCAATCAATGACGTGCAGTTGTTTTGTTTGTTTTGCTTTTCTCGAGCAAAGCTCCGTTTCCTTCTCCCCGTTTAATGACCCCAGCCGGGCCGTGCTGACATCACAGTTGCTGCTTGTGTATTCACATTCAGCCACGGGAAAATTGCACGCGCATTTTTGAAGGATTTTTGGTGCCAGTTTTCTTGCCCAGTTTTAGATTTTGTTTACGATTTATTGCTGTTATGTTTTCATGCTGTGTATTTTTTTTCCCCAGATCTCCTTTCCAAAAGAGATGCTGGCTGAATGGAGCCTCACGCCTTAACTTGTTACGCAAAATAATTTTCACTGTGACATCGTAAATGCACTCATGAGTGAACAGAGTGGAAACGCATCCCTCCAGCAACTGAAAGCTGTCTCCTATACTGGCCACCCACTTGTGGTCTCTCTCTCTGGCAATCGGCTCTCGTTACGCTCCCTCCAGATAGGGCTGTGTGCAGATGCTTTAATGTCAAACCCACTGCTGGATGAGAGTCTCCGCACACCCGATTCGTCTCTGGGGTCGTTAAGCCACGCGTCGCGACGCCTGACAGTGCACGTTGGTGAAATGGGGCACACAGAAACGGAATGGATATCACTCTCGACGCGTTTTAGCCATGGCCTGGAATTGAACTCATGTCACCGGGTACTTGCGCTAACCATTGTGCCACCACTACAGCCTCCAAATGCTTTAAAAACGCAAATCGCATTGCACACGCTAACTGGTTGTGTACATTCACAAAAGTCAGTAGTGATTACATTTAATGAGAATTTTACTGCCGAGTTTTAAAAGCTGGAAGCCACAAATATTGCCAGGGTGGATGGTGTGTGCGGAGTGAGACGTGTGTGTGTGTGTGCACGGTGAGATGTGTGTGTGTGTGCAGGGTGAGACGTGTGTGTGTGTGTGTGCGGGGTGAGATGTGTGTGTGCGGTGTGAGACGTGTGTGTGTGCAGGGTGAGACGTGTGTGTGTGCAGGGTGAGACGTGTGTGTGCGGAGTGAGACGTGTGTGTGTGCGGGGTGAGACGTGTGTGTGTGCAGGGTGAGACGTGTGTGTGCAGGGTGAGACGTGTGTGTGTGTGCAGGGTGAGACGTGTGTGTGTGTGCAGGGTGAGACGTGTGTGTGTGTGCGGGGTGAGACGTGTGTGTGTGTGTGCGGAGTGAGACGCGTGTGTGTGCGGGGTGAGACGTGTGTGTGTGTGCGGGGTGAGACGTGTGTGTGTGTGCGGGGTGAGACGTGTGTGTGTGTGCGGGGTGAGACGTGTGTGTGTGTGTGTGCGGAGTGAGACGCGTGTGTGTGCGGGGTGAGACGTGTGTGTGTGTGCAGGGTGAGACGTGTGTGTGTGTGCGGGGTGAGACGTGTGTGTGTGCAGGATGAGACGTGTGTGTGTGTGTGTGTGCAGGGTGAGACGTGTGTGTGTGCAGGGTGAGACGTGTGTGTGTGTGTGTGCGGGGTGAGACGTGTGTGTGTGCACGGTGAGACGTGTGTGTGTGTGCGGTATGAGACGTGTGTGTGTGTGTGTGTGCGGGGTGAGACGTGTGTGTGTGTGCGGGGTGAGACGTGTGTGTGCAGGGTGAGACGTGCGTGTGTGTGTGCGGGGTGAGACGTGTGTGTGTGCAGGGTGAGACGTGTGTGTGTGTGCGGGGTGAGACGTGTGTGTGTGCGGTGAGACGTGTGTGTGTGTGCGGTGTGAGACGTGTGTGTGTGTGTGCGGGGTGAGACGTGTGTGTGTGTGCGGGGTGAGACGTGTGTGTGTGTGCAGGGTGAGACGTGTGTTTGTGTGTGCGGGGTGAGACGTGTGTGTGTGCAGGGTGAGACGTGTGTGTGTGTGCGGTGTGAGACGTGCGTGTGTGCGGTGTGAGACGTGTGTGTGCACGGTGAGACGTGTGTGTGTGCAGTGTGAGACGCGTGTGTGTGACGCCCACGTGTGTGTGGGCGCGTTTCTCTATTTACTCGATTTGTAGGAGCGTGCAGCGAGGCGGGGGTGGCCTGGGTTTCATTGAAGCTGGTTCCTTGTCATGTCCCTCTAATCCGATCACTTTACCATAACATTTAACCCAAGCCAAACCCAACTGCGCCGCGAATCATTACAAAAGCAGTGAAACGTAGAGAGAACATCTTGTAGAAAACCTGGTTGTAATTACGTTTTTTTTTTTACATTCGTAACCTATACAAGCATAACGCACCCCCTGATATTAAGGAAGTATTATCTACGGTGGCCGAGGGTAACTCATCAGCTTTGAGTGAAGAGGGCTCGCCCGCACCTCCCGGCACGTGGTGCTTTCTGCCCGAGGCCGGCTCGCCACGGGACAACAGCGATGTTCATGCAGCAGCAGCAGCAGCAGCACGGCGCGGGTCGTCTTGTTTCGGGGAAGAGCGCGAGCGCAGAGGGATAGAGAGCGCACGTGTCCAGCTGCAGAGCGCGCGCGCTCTCTCTCTCTCTGGTTGCCACACGCGCTCGCCACTCGGTCAAGTTCGCCGAAAATATGAAAATGGGAAGTTTGTTCGAACGTGAAAAAAGAGAAGAACCAATAATGTGAAGCGAAACTGAAAATTCAGAAGTGAAAGCAATGGTTCAAAACTATAACCTGGATTTCGTTCCCAAAACTAAACACGTTCCTCAATAACATTCTTGTGACCTCACCAATTAATTTTGTAATATATACATTTGATCTTTATTGCAGTGTTCGTGACGCACATGAGTTTGTATCATTTGCTCGTGTGCACCGCTGCCGATGCAGTATCACAAAAAGGTGTAATTTCAATATTTGATGATAATTGAGTACATTTGGTATTTGCGCCATTCTCATAGTGTGCAAGGCTATTTTCATGCAGGAAGGCACAACTGCGTTGCACAGACAGTCCCTGGCGAGTTCACAGCCGGGACCATTATTGGGAGGTGTCATCGTAACCAAGTAATTTGCAGCACACAATGGCCAACTCTTTTTTAGAAATGACATCACTGTGAAGCTGAGGGCGCGTTGTGTTGTATGGTTGCTACACACCGCAGTGATAACCAGGGTGGTCTTCTGAGTTCAAGCCTTGAACCTCTATGAGCGTGCCACCAGCGAGCCGCATGACACCACAGCACCAAGTTCCAACACTGGAACCACGCCCCAAGTAGGAGGCGCGTGCTGGAACCAGCCCGCCCGCCGCCGTTACAATGCTCGTCCAGCGTTGTACCGGGCACCGGTTGCATTCAAAACTGACATCTTCAACTGAACAATAGAACATGAATTTGAATTGAAAACCATTTCACGATTTGAATAAACATAACACTGAGCTGCATTCTTAATGATGAGGGTCGTGTTCCTAGCAGTGGGATTCTCTGCGAACGATGATCTCGATCTGTTCCAGAGTCTCCCCGAGGTTGCCTCAGCCTGACATTATCATTTCTAGTATGTGTCAACACCAGCACTGGGGGAGCGAACAATCCTGGGCATGTGTGCAGCCGTCTTTGACATTTCCTCATGTGCTGTCCTTGCCTTAATAGGAGCTTGCTAACAGCCCTATTCCAAGCTGGCAACCAAGATAAAGTGGAGAGCATATTGTGTTTGTTGCACCCACGTGTGTGTCAGTGTGCGAGGGGACAAGGTGACTGGGCAAGGTGCTGGCCACCCACCTCCTCGTGTGCCGAGGCGGCCTTCATAGGATGCCGCGAACAGCACTTGCCCCAACAGCCGGTCTAGGCTATACAGGGGAGCTTTGTCTTTCAGCGAAGGCTTATGAGAAAATGCGCATATTTTATTTGTTCCACGGATGATTCCCTTTGAGCCAGCTTACCGGCTTGTTGGACACGGGAGTGAGCGCAGCAGCAACGGAAAACGAAAACGGCAAAAAATGCAGAGAGCGAGTCCATGGTCCTGAAGGAACGAACGCTTAGGAAACACGCGCTCCACACGTGAAGGTAAGACACGGTGCGTGAATGGTTGGGCAGCCACGTACCCCTCGCTCGACGGAGATCTCTCTTGGCTTTATCTTGGTCCCTCCCAAGCTTCAACAATCAGGGCTCCGCTGTGAGGTCGACAGGACAGAGACACAGACATAAGCCAAGGGCGTCTCACATCTCTGTGCACTCGGCGCAGATTGGCGGCGTGCTCTGGGGAAGGGCTATTGCTCGAAACGTCGCCCGTCGTGGGGTTCTTCTTCTTTCGGGGCCGCGTTGTTGACGTGATTATTGTGCTCAGTGGTTGTTGTCACGTGTGCTTACGCAACAGAGCAAAAGTAACATCGCTAAATCACTGTGTACAATTACGGATTTTAGAAATAGCAGACACAAATACAAGCACGCATGAAAGCCGAGTGTTTCAACCAGAGAATAGAGAACACCCGGGGGTTCTCTCTGCGCCAGAACACAGATTGCTCTGTGGTTGCATTGTTTAATCGACTGAATGAGAAACAAAAGAGCCCGCGATTGCATAAACACGAAACTTCACTCAGCCCCACAGGTGGCCAAGCATTTCGCTTGCCACGTCCCACATTTCTGGAGTTCGTTCTCCACGTGTGCCACATAATCTTTCATATGGACTCATTTGTACGTTTAATGCTTCAGCTACTTTTGAGTTCGCCTGTTATTTATTTATTTTTGAATCATCTTCTCCGTTTCGTCGCCTTCGCGTTCATCCCCAACGCCCTCTGTCTTTCTTGGCCTCTTCCCATCGGTTTTATCCCTTTTCCCCAGCACGCTCCTCCATGTCGTCGCTCGCTCCTCCTCTACATTTGGTCAAAGCGACCTTGGCCTCTCTCATTCTCCCCCCCCACCCCCCATCGACGCTGCCTTCAACCTCTCTCTAGCAAGTTCACTTCTACCGCCCTCGCCGCTCACCGCTCGGCCTCCTCCTGCCTCGCGCTGACCCAACGCGCGCGAACTCTCGCAAAGATTTTTCCCGATATGAACGGAACTTGATCGGAAAGTTTCCCTTTGCTACTTCGGGACTTTGTGTGAATGAAAACCGGGCAAACTCGTCAACGCGCTGCCCAAGACTGGAAGGCACAAATCAGCGCGCTCACGGCCCTCCCCATGGTGCGGGCCGGGCGAGGTGGGCCCCCCACCCCTCCGCCAGCCCCGTGGCTGACCCCGCGACCCGTGGAGGAGGCCCACGGGGGGGGGGGGACTGGGGGGCTCCCTGGGAGGGCTCCCTGAGCAGACAACTTTCCACCAGCAGTGCCGTGAGCGAGGCGACGTTGGAGCACGCGGAGCGTTTACCTTTGTCTGACTTGACTTCACTCGGAAAGTGTTCATTTGGGAGGTCTTAAAATTGAGGATTTTTCAAAATGCAGAAGAAGAAAAAAAAGCACCAAGGGGTTGTCGTGTTACACATTTCCGCATTTAAAGTGAGCGGCCGACACCCAGCATGGACTCGTAGCATCCTGCGCAAAAATAAACACAACCCTGGACTGTGCCAAATGCACAACCGGCACAGGGTAGTATGAGATTGAGTTAGTTTCAAACAAGGCAGAGCACTGGTCAGATCCTCATCGCTGGGAATGCGGTCTCGAGAGATGTGTTCCCACGTAATGTGAGGAATTGTCACGGGGCGGAGGAGCGACTATTCAAGTTTGTTTTCTTGTTTCGTTCTTCCTATTGTGGTGAACGTAGTGACGTCTAATGGCAACGGGTCACGTGGACCCATCAACATAGAAAATAGTACAAATTTAAAACTATCAATTCACACGCGCGCACAATTTGATGCAAGAATTGTAGAGTCGTCACCTGTCCAGGTTTGGTCCGGATAGTCCCGGAATTCGAATCTCTGTTCGGGTGGCAGGAATTGATTTTGTAATGAGATCTGGTACCGCACTTGGTTGATAATAGACCCATAGGGTGACTGAGAAATACGTCTGAGTCTGATCTACAGTGCCAAGAGTGGCAATGCAAATGCATCGTGAGTGCACACCATCATTTAAGTGATGCATCAATGCATTATTAAGCCCTATCTGCAAACGGGGTAACTTTTTTGGATTCCTTGTAGGAACACAAGGCATCTTAGCAAGCTAAGTCTTTTCAATCCATTATATACAACTTGGCCTCGAAAACTAACCACGCACAATGTAAAGCAAGTATAAGATTAGTCATAGCAAAGTATATTTGTCTGTTGGGTCTTATGGGAAGAAAAACAACACAGCAATGAAGTTGGCAATCTTAACTCCCATCTGTAAATCATGTCAAGTTAATTACAGTCATCCCTCATTATACGGCAACTCAATATACTGAATGTCCCCCCCCCCCACTTCTCTCTCCCCCCCTACTGCCGAGGCCTATATAACCTCGTGCCACGGCAGATCTCTCGCCTACGTCAGCAGTTTTTTTTCTTGGTGTGGTTGTCCCACCTGATGACGATTGCTTGTGTTGCGATCGAAACGTCGTGATCTATTATTTTTCTACCTACGTGACTTTACCGAAAGACCTAAAGAGTATGTCTATGAAGCGTCACTTATAAACTAAGGAACGAATTTGATACATGTTACTTTAAATTCGCATTTATGGATTTTTCAAAATTTCAATTCTGCATTTGGGGGGAGGGGGGGGGGTGGGAGAAATCGAATAATCCACGGTCTCTCGTTCGTCCTCGTTCCGAGCATCTCGTAAAAGTGCCTCCACCTGTCTCGCTTGGCAGCCAGCGGTCGTCTCCAGAGAGTGTAACGCACGTGTGTGGCGTTAGCCGTGGAATGCCCCGACGTTACATTGTGCCGCTCGGAGCGTGGGACCCATCCCGCCGTTGCATTGTGGGCTAAAACCTCCTACATTGTGCACACTCACAGTACACGTGAGCAAGAACCTCCTACATTGTGCACACTCACAGTACACGTGAGCAAGAACCTCCTACATTGTGCACACTCACAGTACATGTAAGCTAGAACCTCCTACATTGTGCACACTCACAATAAATGTGAGCTAGAACCTCCTACATTGTGCACACTCACAGTACATGTGAGCTAAAACCTCCTACATTGTGCACACTCACAGTACATGTGAGCTAGAACCTCCTACATTGTGCACACTCACAGTACATGTGAGCTAGAACCTCCTACATTGTGCACACTCACAGTACATGTGGGCTAAAACCTCCTACATTGTGCACACTCACAGTACATGTGAGCTAAAACCTCCTACATTGTGCACACTCACAGTACACGTGAGCAAGAACCTCCTACATTGTGCACACTCACAGTACATGTAAGCTAGAACCTCCTACATTGTGCACACTCACAATAAATGTGAGCTAGAACCTCCTACATTGTGCACACTCACAGTACATGTGAGCTAGAACCTCCTACATTGTGCACACTCACAATAAATGTGAGCTAGAACCTCCTACATTGTGCACACTCACAATAAATGTGAGCTAGAACCTCCTACATTGTGCACACTCACAGTACACGTGAGCTAGAACCTCCTACATTGTGCACACTCACAGTACATGTGAGCTAGAACCTCCTACATTGTGCACACTCACAGTACATGTGGGCTAAAACCTCCTACATTGTGCACACTCACAGTACATGTGAGCTAAAACCTCCTACATTGTGCACACTCACAGTACATGTGAGCTAGAACCTCCTACATTGTGCACACTCACAGTACATGTGAGCTAGAACCTCCTACATTGTGCACACTCACAGTACATGTGGGTTAAAACCTCCTACATTGTGCACACTCACAGTACATGTGAGCTAAAACCTCCTACATTGTGCACACTCACAGTACACGTGAGCAAGAACCTCCTACATTGTGCACACTCACAGTACATGTAAGCTAGAACCTCCTACATTGTGCACACTCACAATAAATGTGAGCTAGAACCTCCTACATTGTGCACACTCACAGTACATGTGAGCTAGAACCTCCTACATTGTGCACACTCACAATAAATGTGAGCTAGAACCTCCTACATTGTGCACACTCACAATAAATGTGAGCTAGAACCTCCTACATTGTGCACACTCACAGTACACGTGAGCTAGAACCTCCTACATTGTGCACACTCACAGTACATGTGGGCTAAAACCTCCTACATTGTGCACACTCACAGTACATGTGAGCTAGAACCTCCTACATTGTGCACACTCACAGTACATGTGAGCTAGAACCTCCTACATTGTGCACACTCACAGTACATGTGAGCTAGAACCTCCTACATTGTGCACACTCACAGTACATGTGAGCTAGAACCTCATACATTGTGCACACTCACAGTACATGTGAGCTAGAACCTCCTACATTGTGCACACTCACAGTACATGTGAGCTAGAACCTCCTACATTGTGCACACTCACAGTACATGTGAGCTAGAACCTCCTACATTGTGCACACTCACAGTACATGTGAGCAAGAACCTCCTACATTGTGCACACTCATAGTACATGTGAGCTAGAACCTCCTACATTGTGCACACTCACAGTACATGTGGGCTAGAACCTCCTACATTGTGCACACTCACAGTACATGTGAGCTAGAACCTCCTACATTGTGCACACTCACAGTACATGTGAGCTAGAACCTCCTACATTGTGCACACTCACAGTACACATCCAGCGACGGCTGGCACCCGTGCCCGTTTGAGATCTTCGCTGTAGACGGGAGGGTTTCTTCTAAAGAATATTCTTCTTCGAAGCCAAACAGTCCCAGTTGTGCAAGGGGTCAGCTTCTCCTTTGTTCTTCATCACTGCGATTGCATTCTGTGCCTTTTCACCAGTCACATTCCCCGTCCTCATGTCTCATGCCACGTGATCCTTCCTCCCCAACCCTCGGGTTCTCCGACCGCCCCTTCTGTCCTGCACCGGTGACATCTCCAAAGCCCTTCTAATGTCACCGTCCTTGTCGATTCTCAACACGTGCCCAATCCATCTCAGCCGAGAGGTCGAGCCACCTTTACCTCCCTTACCTTCTCGACAAGAGTCCTAACCTCTGAGGTATATTCTCCAACAGGGCTAACAGA